CGGCTACGTGGACGCCGACGACGCCGGTGACAAGCAGAGCAGGACGAGCACGGGCGGCTACGTGTTCGTCTACGGAGGGGCCGCAGTTTCCTGGTCGAGCCAGCGCATCAAGTGCGCGACGCTGTCGTCGACCGAGTCGGAGTACGTGGCGGCCGTCGAAGCCGGCAAGGAGGGACGCCGACTTCGATTCCTCTTGGCAGAGTTCCAGCAGCTGGATGCTGGGAAGCCGACGGTCCTGAGGGTGGACAACAAGTCGGCCATCACAGTCACCGAGGGCATGGGGTTGACGGGCAACCTCAAGCACATGGAGCGGCGACAGGCCTGGCTGCAGCACATGGTGAAGCGGGGGAAGTTTGCACTGCAGTACATCCCGACCGCTGAGCAGCCGGCCGACTTTCTAACGAAGGCGCTGCACTACCCGGCCTTCAACCGGTGCTCCGTTGCAATCGGCCAAGTGCGTCTGGCCGACGTGGGCGACGGCGACGACGATGTGCAGCAGTAGGTGCCATGCCTCCTTGCATGGCTGGTGCGGTGACTGACGTGCTGTGTGTTGGGTGCACGTCGACGAGCGATTCTCCGAGCTGTGCTGTCGTGTGGGCTGGGGGCCCAAGCGTGAACGCGGCAAGGGAGTGTCAACGGGTGTTGTGTAATGGCCCCGTCCTCGCTTGGGCGGAGCCGACTTCGTGGTCGGGTGTAGGGTGCAGCCGACCTGCAGCAGTGGGCGAGTTGGTCGACGAGGTTGGTCGACTTGCACGGGGAGCCACTGCATGGGCGCCGACTTCGGGAGGGCGCCAACTTCGGCTGGTCGACCTGGGACGTCGACCAGCCCTTCTGGTCGACCTGGGACGTCGACCAATCCCTTCCGGTCGACCAGGGACGTCGACCAGGCCTTCTGGTCGACCAGGAGTGACGTCGACTTGGAGCTGGTCGACCAGGGGATAGTGGTCGACCTGGGGAGGTCGACTGGAGGTGGCCGTCGACTTTGGAGGTCGATTGGCACGTACCAGAGGGAGTGGTCGACCTGGGAGGTCGACCGGAAGTGGTCGTCGACCTGGGTGGTCGACGGGCATGCACTGGAGCCTCTGGTCGACCTGGTTGCCCGGTCGACCAGGTTACCTGGGTGACGAGGTGCTGCGAAGGCTTGCGATGGTCGCCCAGGTGGTTTTGGCGAGGACGACCTCGGTGATGGTATCCCGAGGTCGACGTGGTGCATCAGGAGCAGTCATCAGCACGAAGTTGATGTGGTGTGTGCGTTGTGCAGGTGACGAGGCACTGCACGCCAATCGTCTGCGAGCACCTGCGAAGTAGGTGCGCTGCTGTCCTGCGGGAGCAACGTTGGCGCGCCGTCAACCTGCGACGTTGGCACGCCGTCGACCTGCAGTGTTGGCAAGCCGCGACTCTGCGCTGCTGGAGCGCGGTCGACCAAGTTGTGCTGGAGCACGGTCGACCAAGTCGTGCTGGCACACGGTCGACCGTGCTGCGCTGGCAGTCGACCTGCTTGCATGCTAGCTCTGATGTAGTCTTGCCTTGCCAACTTCTTTGTATCATTGTTGTCAACTTTCTCTAGTGAAACTCTTGCCAAATTGCCTTGTGAACTAGCAAGTAGTGTGTGCACTGGGAGAGTGACTAAGGACCAACGAACGCAGAGATCACACGAGCACCCGTGCCTAGCCCGTAGTCTAGCTCCCATTGTAGTAGTTATCTCCGCAGATCACAGATAGTGTTTGCAGCGGAAGTAGTCAACTCAGGTCAGAGTGGATGTAAATGATTGAGATAGTAAAAACATGCATACATTGAGTTTATACAAGAAATTCAGGGAATACGAAAAAAACCTAGACTAGCCATGTACTCTAAGGAGTACATTCCCTTATTACAGCAAAGTTCAAACCGTGCGGCGCGGGAACCAGTTTCAAACCTGTTCCCGCTCTTTTCACTTCAAATGTTGATTGCCTGCATCGGTCTTGATCTTAGGGCGCGTGTCTTTTGGTGTAGATTGTCAAAGTTCGAGCCTAGTACCGCTTTGTAACGTGGCGACACATCTCTCAACTGTATCCCACCGCTTACAACCTTTCTAAAAGTTCAACTTTTGGCCAAAGTTCAACCTCAAGGACACACGCCCTTACGATTTGTGGTGTCGCTTCGACTATTATGACGCCTTGACTTCGTACTCGGTAGAGTCTGTTCCTGCAGCGTACATGAATGTCTTCTCATTTAGGATTTCATATCATAACACTCCCCTTCATTCCTGGATGCGTAGGGGGCTGACTCGGTTGACCACTCCAGTAAGGTTAGAGCAGTGCTTGTACTGCTGATGTGGCAGTCGCTTCGTGAGATTGTCGGCGGCCATCTCTGTGGTGGGGTAGTACGCGAGGTCAACCTTGCCCTGGTCAATTTCGTCCTTGACGAAAAAGTATCGGAGCGCGATGTGCTTCGTGCGGTTCACGAACCCTGGCTTGTTCGCGATCTTGATGGCGCTCTGGTTGTCGCAGTGAAGGCGAAAGGTGGGCGAAGTTGGAATTTTCACCTCCTGCAGCAGTTCTTGCATGTAAAGTCCTTCGCGAACTGCGGCTGTTGCAGCAATGTATTCTGCTTCAGCCGATGACAGGGCAACCAATTCCTGCTTCTGCGAATTCAAGGAAATTGGACCCGTTGGCTCCAGGTGGAAGACGAAGCCAGTTCGTGACCGTTGATTTGCAGGGTCAGCAGCATGATCTGCATTCACGTAGCCGTTGAGGTTGAAGGAGGTTGTCGTCAGCGTGGAGTAGAGGAGCCCGATGTCAGGTGTTGAAATGAAGTACGGTAGGGCGCGCTTCAGATTTAGCTAGATCTCTGTTACTGGCTTGCGAAAATACTATGCCAGTTGGCTGGCGATGTACGAAAGGGCAGGTCGGCAGTTGACAGAGGCGAACAGCAGGCACCCTTGTTTCTACTAGTACAGTTGGAGTCTTGCGGGCGACAAAGGTTTGTTGTCCAGTTTGTAGTTGGTCCTGGGAGTGTAGTAGGGGGTTGAGAGTGGTGCGGGCGATATTTTGAAGCTCTCTCCCAGCTGCTCTGCGTACTTGGAGGCTGGCAGATGAATTGCTTTTGGCGCGTATGTGATGTTCAGTTCCTGAAACTGCTTGACTTTGTAGTTGATGGTGATGTCAACGCGCTGCGCCAGGTTCTCCTCAAACTGGTTGAGAAGCTTGTTGCAGGTGCCGGTGTACAGCAGGTCGTCGATGTAGATTGCCTGGAAGATGTAGTCGCAGTTGAAGTGGAGGCGGTACATTCACGGGTCGTAGGGCAGCTGTCTGAAGCCGATCTCCAGGAGTATTTTAGATGCTGCTGCTAGAGACGCAGCGCCTGTTTTATCCCGTAGAGGGATTTCTTCAGCAAGCAGACCCTAGGGTTTCCTTCTCCGTAGGTATGTGGCTGTTCCACGAAAATGGTTGCAGCCACCAGCGCGTACAAGAATGCGTTATCGGCGTCGATATGTTGCAGTGGTAGATGCTTAACGGCGGCAATGGCAAGTAGGATCCTGACGGAGGTATGATGACTGACGGAGCGAAGGTTTGGTCGAAATCGATGCCAAGGGTTACGGTACTGCTTTAGCTTGGGAGTTGGAGCTGTGTCGTGGAGGTCTACACGGTCGTCGTCTGTGGCTACGTCCAGTGCCGAGGCAGAGATCTTCGCCTGTGCTATGGTTGCGCAGGAGCTGCGCTGGTTGACCTTCTTGCTCACTGACCTTGGTGAGCGGCCTCGTTCTGCTCCGACCTTGTTCGCTGACAACAAGGCCATGATTCTCTTGTGTCGCGAGCCTTGACTAGAGAGCAGTGTGAAGAACATTGACGTGAGGTACTTCCTCTTGCGATAGCTGCAGCATCGCGGCCAAACCCGCCTGGACTTCGTGCCATCAGTGGGCAATACTGGGGACATTTTCACCAAGGCCTTGGCGCCTGGTGACCACCACATGTTCTGTGTGCAGTTAGGACTTGTTGACACAAGTGCTTGATTGTACGGTAGTACCTTTTCTCTTTGTTTGTCGTTGCAAATATATATATTTGTGAACTCTTGAACTGGCCTTGTGGCCATTTTTGCTTGTGCTTGGAATGCGTGGTGGTTTCCTTGAGATCCACCCTGAGCTTGTCTTGTTGCTTCTCTTGACTAGTCTTGTGACTGTTTGTTTGCCTTGCTTGCTTTGATGCCCCTCACGAGGGTGTGTCAAATGTTTATATTATTCAGATATAGTTTCATATTATAGGCTGCAGTGAGTTGCCCTTTGAAGGGTACAACACTTTGGTCAAGTCAACACTTTGTATCCCCTTCTTATCATCGACTCAACACAATTCTCTCGACATTGGTTCCTTGGCTGCTTTAAGAGTTTGGGTGCGAAATTGTAGGCCGAACCAGTTGGTCGCGTGGCCCTCGGGATGGCCTCGCTAACGAGTGCCTCAGTAAGGATTTGTAAATCCTTACACGCACCCCACTTTTTGGTGGCTGGTCGAGGCAACCGAGCGACGATAGAGGCAACCAACAAGGTTCACTGTATTGTTGAATATTTTCCAGACTCCGAGTTGGCCGGTCGAGGCAACGAGCGCAGGCTAACAAGGTAAGTAACATGCAGGGCTGACGTTCCATTGTAAGCCTCCCTGATTCCTGGGAAAGTTTCCCCCCTGTATAATGAGTGCATATTTTCCACAGGTAGGCTACTCTGATTGCTCAGTGCTGAAAAGTGTCAAATGTTGTAGTCTTAGTGATGTGTGTCATAGGGGGTACAACTCTTAGGGTTAGGTTTATGTACCCCAACCAACATTGTGAATGCAACACTTTCATTCTTGACATGGTATCAGCTAGGTTAGGATCCCGTGGGATCCCGTTCCTCTCGATCATGTTCGTCACGCCCGAGCCTGCCCCGTACCTTAGTGCTAGTCACGCCCGTGCTGTCCCTTGGCGTATCCTGCACTCGTCTCTCACGTGCCCTAGCGCCTGCTGTGCCGCCCGTCCCGCGCGTTTCACTCGTCATGAACATCCCGTCCTGCGTGTCGCGTCCCGTTCCTACCGTTGCGCCCCCGCTGCGCCCTGTCCGTTCGTCGCGCTCCGTGTGCCCTGCCGGTCGCGTCGCGCTCGTCCCGTCCGTCCCGTCTGTCCCGTCCATCCCAGCCGTTCCGTCTCATCCGTTGTGTCCGTCCGTCGCATTGCGCTCCCCCCTGTCTGCCCCGTCCGTCGCGCTCCCCCCCGTCAGTCTCGTCCGTCGCTCTCCCCCCCGTCCGTCCCGCCCGTCGCGCTTCCCCCCGTCCGTCCCGTCTATCGCGCTCCCCCCTGTCCATCCCGTCCGTCACGCTCCCCCCGTCCGTCCAGTCCGTCGAGCCGTGTGCGCCCAGCCCGTCGCGTCGTCATCGCCGCGCCAGCCCTTCTCGCCACGCCGCGCCAGCCCGTCCCGTTGCGCTGCACCAGCCCATCTCGCCACGCCGTACCGTCCTGTCCTGCCGAGCCGCGCCTTCCTGCCCGTCCCATCCAGCCGAGCCGCGCCCGTCGCCTCGCGCTGCCTATCCTGCTTACCGCGCCCTACCCTAACGTCCTGTAGTGCACTGAGCTTCTTGCACTACCTGTCATACCCTTCTCAGGCTCCAGAATTTAGGGTTTCAGCAGTGACAGTTCCACCCGCTATGGCGACCTCTAGGGTACTGCACTTTGACACCGACGGTAGGCCACTCGAGTTTTCTGTCTGGCTTCTGCGTGCGCAGCATTTCCTCGAGAGTCAGGTCCTGGCAGGCGAGTCTCCGTGGACGGACGCTTTCGGTGTCCTTCGTGCGCCCGACGGCCCTACGCCTTTAGGCACTGCCCCCGACGACGCAGCTAGAGATCGTTATGACGTGACGGCGTGGAAGTCGCGTGACACTGCGGTTTGGTCTCCCTAAGTCCGAGGAGACCCACTTTACTCAAGTTCGCACGGCTAGTGAGTTCCTGACTGCGATCAAGGCCCGCTACGCTACTCCCACCACAGTCTCTCTTGGTCGCCTGTTCCTTCTAATCCCGTTTCCTGACCTCGCCTCGTTTGAGCGCATTGCTGATTTGATTGCTCACCTCCGCTCGCTCGATTCTAGCTACCGCGCTGCTTGCACTGACGCACAGCTTGCACTGCTTCCTCCCCCCATGGCGATTACCATATATTTCATCACCACTAGCCTTCCTGACTGCCTTGCCTCGGTTCGTGACGCGCTTCTTCTGAAGCACCCTAGTGAGCTCACTATTGAGGTCCTTGAGTCTGCGCTCAAGGACGTCGAGAGCAACCTCCGCTCCGTAGCCTCCGCCTCTAATGCTATGCCCCCTCCCCTGTTTCACGGGTGCACTGTCCCTCAGCTGCCCACCTTTACTGCCTCCCTTGCCACTTCCGCTACTATCATGACCGCAGCTGCTATTACGACGTCTTCGCGGTCTCAGGGTAGGAGTGGCAGGAGGGGCGGTCAGGGTGCGGGCGGAGGCGGCGGAGGCAGTGGGGGTGACGTGGTGAGCGGCGGCGGTGGGAGTGCAGGGTCTGGAAGAGCTTCTCGTGCAGCGGCCGGTGGCTCCACTGCAGCGGCTGGTGGAGGTGACGCCCGGGTTCGTCAGCCACCTACAGGTCTGACAGACGCAGGGGGTGGAGCAGCAGCGTGGTACCTGACTCGGCAGCAGCAGCAGCAGCTACCTGACTCGGCGTGGTACCTGACTCGGCAGCAGCAGCAGTAGCAGCAGCAGCAGCCGCAGCAGCAGCGGCAGCAGCAGGTTTTGGGGCAGGGGTCAGGACAGCGTCAGCTGTAGCGCAGTGTCGTCCACCCTCCCTGCACCTATCACGTTCTGACAGGTGCTCGCCGAGGCCAGCCTTGTGGCCGCAGCCACCCACCGGGTCAGTGCTTTGCTCAGCTTACTGACACGGTTCGTTTGGCCTACGGCGTAGGCGGCCCTGCCCTTGACTGGCTTCCCCTTATTCAGACGTACAGCCCCGCTTTGTGGGGCATGTCCGCTTCGCAGTTGGTTGATCTCTTAGGAACTCCTTATGCTATGTATGCTGTTGTTGACCATAGTGCTTCTGACTCTGTTTACTCGAGTGCTGTTAGCTTAGGTACTAAACTTGCTGAGGTGCCTGTTGCTAGTGTAGGTACTTGTGTAGGAGCTGCTCCGGAGGACGCTTTGCTTTCTTTCACTCTGGACTCCGGAGCTTCGCACTGTTTCTTTCGCGACCGTACGACACTTACCCCCCTTCCCATGCGGATCTCTGTAGCGCTGGCTGATCCCTCTTCGGGACCAGTCATTGCTCGCTACACTACTACGCTTATGTGCCCGGCTGTTCCCTCCGGTTCTCTGACCGGCTTCCACGTCCTTTCGTTCTCGAGGAACTTGGTGGGCGTGAGGCCTCTCGTGAGTCAGCACGTGGGTGTGTGGATTGAGCCTTCTGACGAGACTGCGGTTTGTGTTGGCGGGGACACGTACGCGCCTCTGGCCACCTTTACCGCTGAGCCGGGCTCTGGTCTCTACACACTTCACACTGGCCCCCGTGGCCAGCAGCAACAGCAGCAGCAGCGGCGGCGGCTACTGCCCCTGGCCCCTGTCCCTGCCCCCTGTCTGGTCCCTGCGTCTCACCAGGTTGCCGCGTCCCCCCAGGTAGCTGTGTCTTGTCAGGTTCCCGTATCTGGTCCCAGTTGCTGCGTCTTGCTCCTGCCGGTCGCTTGCCCACCCCACCGTTCTGTGGCACCACCGGATGGGGCACCCGTCCCTTCCTCGTCTGCGCGCTATGTCTAGTCAGCGTCTTGTCTTAGGCCTCCCACGTGTCTTGCCGCCGCAGCCGCCTTCGCTTGCACCACCGTGCATTCCATGCGTCGAGGATTGGCTGCGCGCCACCGAGCCTTTTGAGACGCTCCACTTGGACGTCTGGGGCCCCGCCTCTCGCCTTGGCCCTGAGCGTGAGCGTTTCTTTCTGGTGGTCGTTGACGACTACTCCCGCTACACCACAGTGTTCCCCCTGGCGAAGAAGTCTGAGGTGACTTCTACGCTGATCAGGTGGTTGCTTACCACTGAGGACACTCGTGGTCGTCGTGTCAGTTGTCTTCACTCCGACCGCGGGGGTGAGTTTCACTCCGGCGTTCTCGCTGGATTTTGTCGCGAACAGGGCCTCCGTCAGTCCTGGGCGCTTCCAAAGTCCCCATAGCGGAATGGGGTTGCTGAGCGCCGCATAGGCTTGGTCATGGAGATTGCCCGCACGTCCTTGACTCACGGTCGTGCCCCCCATTTTCTGTGGCCATACGCGGTTAGGTACGCCGCTTGTTAGAATCTAGCAGCAGGAATGAATGAACTAGCAGGAAGACGAGTACAAGTAGTAAACCCTAATTTGGTTGTACCCCATATGGGCTACCCCACTACAGCCTACACAATAAGCAGCATATATGTTTGACACACCCCCATAGGCAAAGTGGGGGAGAACAAGGGTCACACGACCAGTCAAGAGAAGCAAAGCAAGCTGAGGGTGGATCACAACGTCACCACACTCTCTGAGCACAAGCAAAGGGCCACAAGGCCAGTTCACATGCAGAGGTATATATATATGCAACAACAATAGAGCAGTGATCACTACCTAGCAAGAGCAAGCATGCAGAATATATATATATATATATATATATAGATCACAGTACAAGCAAAGTCTACAGCAAGTGTGGAAACGTAGGCACAAGGCCTAACAGGGTACAAAAGCGCTGATGATCACCAGACGGAAGTGCCTTGGTGAATATATCAGCAGTGTTGGCCCGAGTGGCCACGTGACGAAGACGAAGCTGACCTCGCTGCTGCAACTCTCGAGCCAGGAAGTAACGCAGAGCGATGTGCTTTGTTCTGTGCTCCAGTCTGTGCTCCTCACACAAGGCAATGGCCGCCTTGTTGTCAACGTACAGAACTGGAGGAGAACGAGGCCGCTCACCCAAGTCAGTCAGCAGGTAGGTGAGCCAGCGTAGCTCCTGTGCAGCCATGGCGGTGGCGTAGATCTCAGCCTCACAACTGGAGCTGAGAACAGAAGACGAGCGTGTAGACCGCCAAGAAACAGAGCCAGAGCCAAGGCTGAAGGTGTAACCCTATGACGACCGCTGTGTAGTCTGGTCGTCAACCCAAGACGCGTCTGAGTGCCCAGTGAGCACCACCTCACTCCGTCCTCCAAGCACGAGCCCCATGCCTGATGTACTGCACAGGTAGCGCAACACCCTCTTGGCAGCATCCATGTGCACCTTTCGGTGCCTGCCAGGAGCCACGTAACGAGCCAAAAGGCCAAGAGGGTATGCTAGGTCAGGTCGAGTGCAGGTCATCAGATACATGAGGCAGCCAACTAGCTCTGGGTAAGGACCACTCGGCTCTACGGACTCATCCGAAGGTGGAGCTGAGAGCGAGTGACCTGTAGCCAGAGGAGTGGGCTGTGGGGAGGACCAGGAGAAGCCGAAGCGCTGAAGGACCTGCTGCACCATGTGTGACTGAGTCAGGGTGATGGTGCGGCGTGCTCTGTCCCGGGTGATCTGCAAGCCAAGGTAGCTGCGCAGCTCACCCAGGTCTGTGCACGTGTGTCTCTTCTGCAGCTCCGACTTCACCTGAGCGAGAGCCTCAGTGTCAGCAGTGGCAAAGACTAAGTCGTCGACGTACACGAGGATGTAGAACGGCGGCAACGAAGTGTCGGTGCGCAGGAACAGCGACGGGTCAGCAGTCGAAGGAGCGAACCCAAGAGCCGCAAGCGTCGTCCTCAGTGTGTCGTGCCACTTACGAGGCGCCTAGCGGAGACCGTAGACTGGCCGCCGGAGACTCCACTGGGTACCAGGAGGAAACGACCCAGTGAAGCCAGGTGGGCGGCGCAGCCAGATCTCCTCGTGCAGGCTGCCCTGTAAGAAGGCTGTGCTGAAGTCAAGTGAGTGAAGCTCGTAGTCACGCTGAGCGGCAACGTGCAGCAGCACCCGAAGAGTGGTCATCTTCGGGGTAGGGGAGAAGGTCTGGAAGAAGTCAACTCCCTCTCGCTGACTGAAGCCTCGAGCAACGTAACGAGCCTTGAAGACAGGCGGAGAACCCGGCGGCCGCTTCACCCTGAAAATCCACATGCCACTGACGATGTTCGCCCCAAGAGGGGGAACCTCATCGACGTAAGTGCCTGTGGACTTCCAGGATGCCATCTCTGCGTCCATGGCTGTCTGCCACTGAGAGGAGTACTCACCCGCGATCGCCTCAGCGTAAGAGCGCGGGGTCGGGATGTCTGGTGCATCCGGGTCTCCCTCAGGGGCAAGCAGCATGGCCACGAGATGAGGCGCAGCAGCCGCAAGACACTCAAGGTCCTCGTGCCTGTCCTCAAGGACGTCCGTGCTAAGAGCACACTCACCCCCGACGGACGGAGGACAGACAGACTCAGACTTAGCAACAAGACTGGCAGCGAAGTCTAGACGACAGGCAGCAGCAAAGTCAACAAGCTCAGCGACCAGGGCAGACGCAGCAGTAGACTCAAACGACGGGTCAGTGACAACAGTGGCTAGCAGACGCGTGACAGTAGGGTGCTCAGCACAAAACCGATCAGACTCAGGATCTGCGACGTCAGGCAAAGAGGACGCAGGAGGAGACGGAAGAGGAGTACGCTCCGGAGGAGAGGACCGACGCAGGGCTACAAGGCGTGTGCCGGGGACAGCCGGCTGACGCTGACGAGGAACACGACGAACAGTATGACGAGGACGAACAGGCGAGACAGGACGCGACGTAGGCTCACGACGCTCAGCAAGACTACCTGTCTGCTCAGTGTAAGGAGAGGGAGCAAGCAGCAGCGAGCCAGGCTGTAACGGAAGACCAGTAGACGACGGGAGAGTAACAACCTGACAAAGAGCAGAGTCAGGCGGCGGCAGAGACGACGGAGACGGCGGAGCGAAGAACAGCCGTGTCGGAGCCGCTGCACTAGCACCAGCAGCTCCAGCACCTCCAGTAGCTCCAGCACCTCCAGCAGCACCAGAACCCTCAGCGCCAGCTCCTCCAGGGCCAGCTCCACCAGCAGCAGCACCCCCAGAACCGGCACCCCCAGTCCCAGGGTCTCCAGCCGCAGTGTCCCCAGCAGCAGCACCCGCAGGCTCAGCACCTCCAGCCCCAGTAGCTCCAGTACCCCCAGTACGAGCACCTCCGAGACCAGCACCACTCCCAGCTCCAGTGACGTCAGCAGAAGTACCTCCAGTAGCAGAGCCCCTAGCTCCAGAAGCGCGACCCTGACGGCGACCGTACCAGTCGTGCAGCTGCTGTGAGGTGAGAGGCACACGTGGATGTAGGCGGCCACTCCAAGGAGACCGCGCAACAGAAGACTCAAAACCCTCAGGGTCAGCACCTCTAATAGCTCCAAAACCTCCTGTGCCAGCACCCTCAGCACCAGCACCTCCAGCAGCTCCAGAACCTCCAGTGCCAGCACCCTCAGCAGCTCCAGAACCCCCAGCTCCAGCGCCACCAGCACCAGGACCACCAGCAGCTCCAGAACCTCCAGCGCCCGCACCCTCAGCAGCAGCAGAGCCTCTTGTAAAAACAGCTCCAGGAGCAGAGTCACCAGCTCCAGCAGCGCGGCCCTGACGGCCAAGGTACCACTCAACCAGCTGCAGGGAGGAGAGGGGGAGTCGACGACGAGAGGGCAGCGGCGAGGCACCAGCGGAGCGACTACGGAGACGGCCGCTCCAGGGAGACTGCTCACCAAACGCCTCAACACCCCCAGG